AAATAGCACCCGTTATGAATGAGGCGACCGGTGAGCACAGGTATGCCACGGCTTCGGCCACATCTTCAGGTTCACCGATTCGTTGCAACGGATAGTCAGTCTTACAGTGCATTTCAAATCTGGTCAACGAATCCTTATCTCCGGTCACTGTCTCGAAGATTGGCGTTCGTATGCCCGCAGGACTTCAATAGTAATTATAATATAATCAAGTCCATTTTATATACAAAACCTTATTATCATTTACTTGACACTATTCACCCGAATCCCTTTGGGTCCCAACTCGAGGGCTAAACATTTGGTAAACATATCCAGAGCACTCTTTGCCATATTGTATGATATTCCTATTGTTGACTAATATTTCGATGATTTTTAAAATCAATATAATAAACAAGTTAAATTATATTTATATATTTACGGGTTTAAGTCCAGAAGTACTCGAGATGTTAATAATGTTTCCTTTAGTTGTCTCGAGATATGGAACCACTAATTGAGTCAATACTTGAATACTTCGGACATTAGTGTTCATCACTTTGTCGTATGTTTTCAAATACCCGGGTGATCCAAATTGAACAATATCACCTATTCCGGCGTTATTCACGAGAATATCTATTTTTCCAAATTCTTCCACTGTTTTCTCCACCAAATTCTTGACATCTCTGTCCACTATTAAGTCAGCCCTAACTCCAATTGCTTTCTGTTTTGTAAGTGATTCACACTTTTTGACCACAGATCGGATTCTCTGGTCATCCCTTCCAGTGATGACTACATTTGCGCCCAAAGACGACAACTTCAGAGCAATTGCTTCGCCGATACCCGAAGACGAGCCTTAGATTTGAAAGTTTATTGATTTATAAAAAAATATTTATTATTCATATAAATATACCTGTTATTAAAGCTACGTTTCCATCAAAATTCATTATTGAGGTCTAATACAATTTGACTAAAATTTATAGTAAATACAATCTTTCATACAGTAGGCATTAGTAGTTTGATTAGAGATTTGTAACCTTAACATTTGTATCAATTTCTCAAGATCCTGATAAGTATGTTATGATAAAAGTTTTTAATACCTGTACCTTATTTGTTAATTATAGTTTTTTAAAGGGACTTATAATTGTGTTTTAAACAGTGTATATACTTTGCACAAAATGTTCTAGATGTCATTTAAAATTAATTTTATATTAATGAATGTAATTATAATAATAATATTAATTAATAGCATCATAATTATAACATTAAAAATTCGGGAAACAGCAATAACTTGAATAAATTACTGACAGATTAAATTACACTGGCATTTATTTTAAGCGTGATAATTTTATAAATAATATAAAACAAATTTTTATTGATTAAAATTAACTTTTATTTTATCAAATGAATTTAATTTGTAGTTAGAGTTATAATTATAAAAATTATTACAAAAATTAAAAATAGATTTTGTCTCACATTATACCCGAGAAATAGGAGCTCTAAGAGAGCCGCCATCGACCGGCAAAATGGCACCCGTTATGAATGAGGCTACGGGTGAGCACAGGTATGCCACGGCTTCCGACACGTCTTCCGGTTCACCGATACGTCTCAGCGGATAGTTATCCTGACATTGCTTTTCAGTGGCCGACAATAAATCCTTACTTCCAGTCATTGTCTCGAAGAATGGCGTCCGGATTACTGCCGGACTTTAATGACATTTATATTTAATAACATTTAAGACTATAATAAAATCAAAACTTACTTGACACTATTCACACGTACACCTCTGGGGCCTAACTCTAGGGCTAAACATTTAGTAAACATATCCAGTGCACTTTTAGCCATGCAATATGAAATTGCTCTGGCTGACTAATTTGGATGAAAATTAAAATTGAATGTTAGATATTTGAGTATACTACAATTAAATAACTATATTTACGGGAATTAATCCCAAAACACTTGAGATGTTAATAATGTTTCCTTTAGTACTCTCAAGATATGGAACCACTAATTGAGTCAATACTTGAATACTCCGGACATTAGTGTTCATCACTTTGTCGTATGACTCGAGATATGCCGACTGTTCAAAAGTAGCTGTCGGTCCGATACCGGCGTTATTCACGAGAATATCTATTTTTCCAAATACTTCGATAGTCTTTTCCACCAAATTCTTGACATCCCTGTCCACCATTAAGTCAGCCCTAACTCCAAGTGCTTTCTGTTTGGAAAGTGATTCACACTTTTTGACCACAGATTGGATTCTCTGGTCATCCCTTCCAGTGATGACTACATTTGCGCCCAAAGACGACAACTTCAGAGCA